ACCACAGTGGATAACGCCAACAAATGGATTAATCGACAGATATGCTAACGAAAATAAGTTATATGGACGTTTTACAATAATAATAATAATAACATGCCTTTGATATTAGTTTCTTTTACAAATACATATTTTGGATAAGGGGAGATACTAAAAATTTAAAATTAAAGAATAGAAGTGGTATTTTTCTACCCAGCCATAAAATGAGATTACAAACATGAATAAGAATAGTGTCGTAAAATAATGAATACATGATTTGTGATAATTGCCTATTAAAGTTTAAATCTATACAAGTATACATATTTTGAGTCATTTGAAATAAAATCATGATGTTCATATGATATGACTCGAAAAATCAAACTGTTAGTTTTATTCTTGCCGAATTTTTGAAAATTGATCTCAATATTATCAGGTAGAGGAGGCGGATAGAAGCATTTCTTTTAATTTTTTCTTGAAATTTATTAGACTGTAATTGCGGTACTCAGTTCGTAGATTGTTGTGGTGTTTGGCCGCAATGTATGAAAAGCTTTCCTTGAAATGATTAGTCAATCACACAGCTGTAACTTTAATTTACTATTTAGTAAATGTCTTTGAGGATAAACCCAGATTTTTGCTTACAGTTACAACTGGTAAAGGCATGTTGTTGATGTTGAGCCAATATAGATCTTCACTTTCTATTATGATTCGTCTCTGCTTTGGTCCAAAAATCATAACTTTTGATTTAGAAGCATTCACTGTTAAATTACGAGCAGCCGAAATGTGATACCTGGTATCTAGATTATTGTTGATCAAGTCAAATAAAAAAAATGCATCATTAATATGACAACCATAATATAGTTGTGTGTCGTCTGCGTAGTGATGAACATTGCAATACTTTATATTATTAGAAAAGTATGAAATATAAAGAAAGAATAATAAAGGACTAGGAATGGAGCCTTGAAGTACTCCCATTGTTATGGGGATTTCTTGGAATTCTTCAAATAAATTGAGACATATTGGTATCTTTATACCAGAAAACATTTTAGATTGCACAGCGGGACAGCTGAAGCCAAAGTATTCTAATTTAGTGCAAAGTATATAATGGTCAATGGTATCGAAAGCCTTGCTGTAATCAAGTAACATTAAAGAAACAATTTTGCTGTTGCCGACTGAAAACATTAAATCATCAGCTATAGACAACAAAAAGTAACAAATTGTATACATATGTGTTATTTGCCCATCTTTGTTGTTATTAGCAAAATTCATAATCTATTGATATTGTTCAGTGCAAGGGTTTTTTTTTGAAAAATCTTTGACCTCGAATTTTACCCTCCCCGTTCGCAACTATATTAGTGTATAGAATATATTTGGCTACATCGCCATCTATGAAATAATTACCTTTTCAAAGTAGCGTTCTAATTAGCGTGGAAATGAGAAACATAGCTGTGACTAATTCTTATATAGATGACGCTCGAATATTTTTTGGACGCAGGAATATAGTGACAGGCTGGATATTTTCAGGTAGGATACTTTTCATACATAATTCTAATTAATGGTAAAATTATAAACATCCCTTAATTAAAAGTAGCTTTATATTATCGTCAATCGAAATATACTCTTTTTTTTATCAAAGACCACTTTGAAAATTTTGGTGGATTCCTAACATATTTCAAAAGGGTGTCAAAAAGTATGAAGATTAGATCGAACGTTGCAGATTTTCAATGGGAAAAGTAAATAAGTAAGGTAGATATTTCCTTACACCCTATCTATGAAAATAACAGAATTACAAATTCAATATGAATAAAATTAAACATTAATAATCTAAAACGTAGCTTTTTTCGCAATACAAATAAATAATACAAATAATAGTATAATAAATCAGAATGTTAATGGGAGGGATACACTTGATGGATTGACAGCAAATTATCAATGTTTGGCTTAAGTTTTATAAGGATTAAGAGCAAGTCTCCCTGGTCTGAAATGTTCAGCCTGTCCCTTTTTTCTATTATTAGATTTCTAACCACACTAAATTCTTTTGAAATAGATCTGGAAGGGGAACGCTATCAAAAATATCAAACATTTCCTCATAATTTTTCAAAATGTGTGTCGGGTATTTCTGCGTGCTGCCAAAATGGTTGGATTTAAATTTCACCGTCCGCTCCTCATTAGTTCTATGCTTGAGTTCGTCTTGTCTCTCCACTTACAACTTGGGAACCCCCATTTTTGTTTTACGTCAGCGTAGACCCCCGTTGAGTCTACCGTGGACCCCTGGGGGTCCACCTAGACCTTTTTGGGAAACACTAGTATAGAACATCTAAAAAATAAAATTTCAATTACATTGCATTTTCTTTAATCTTTCCAAAAATGGAAATTTCTGAAAAAATCATTAACAAAAATAACATAACGAACAATGCTTGTAGTATATCAATCGTAACCTTCCTTGGGTTGAGTGTTAGATCAGCGATAAACACTTGAAAATCATGAGCCTATGTTCGACAGATCTTTGATCATCTATTTTTTATCTTTATACCGTGTTTGATACTGGAAATGGTTCCTACTTATATGCCTGAGTACGAAGTATTCTTCTAGATAAGAACTTCAGCGAGGGAGATAATTGACGAAATAATTCAATTCAATTCTATTCTATTTATCTCTAACAACACAGACCAGCATATTTATCCAATTTAATACATACATTTGACTAGAATAGTGTAAAGTGATAACTATAGACTCTTTAGAGGGAATGAAGTTCAAGCCCAAAGATAGAGCAGATCCTCTTTTTCCTATCCATAATCTCCATGTGGTTCTGTTGAAAACAGTAGACCGACAAGCATTTTCAAAACGGACTAGTATTTCGAAAATAGACGTCTTAGATTAATTCCCAAGGACCATTCATTGAGTTTTTGCTGCTTCTTTTAAAAACACTGAATATCTAACATATGCCTTCCAAGAGCAGAACCAGTAATTGCTTCCTGTATTATGCACTTTTGGTCATCTGATACGTAATAAAAAAGCCATATGTTCCGGTTATCTTCGCTTTTGAGAATAATGCTAATGAATTTTCATTTGTTCAGTTCCTCAAACTTGCAGTTTTGTGCTGTTTCTTTAGCCTGCTAAACTTTAGAGAAACAAATCATTTTAAGATAGATACCGACTGTGGCTACTACAGAGCTTTATCCCTCGTCAACCCAGTTTAACAATGTAGCATCTTCAAGGAAAGATTAAAACTGTTTCATTCCAAACGAGACACGTGTCCGATGTTTAAAAAGCCAGCTTCGCGAGTGGTAAACTGTGTAATGTACAAAGATAGGCGTTGGAGCTCATCAAAAACTTTCTTCAAAATATGTTTCATTTTTAGAAAATATCAGACACAGCGACAAAAGGCAACAGCAGACGTAAGAAAATTTAAAAGCTTTTACTGGCTTTTACACATATGTATAGGGTATACAATACACAAATTTTAACAGCATACTCATAATTTGAAGTATATCTTCATTTCTACAGTCTATAGTTTATTACACATTTGGGTAGGCCCTTTCAAGCAAAGCAATTTGATATAACATATACTATAGGATTCGATTTTCAAACTTCAACAATTTGCACCTCCGCAACTGTTATAGTTAGATTACTGAATTTTTAGTCAGATACGTTTTATGATTCCTACTTCTCTCTAAGCCCACTTACTTTTACAGTTTTCTTGGATTGTTTATATAGGGTGGCCAAGAACGCAAAATCAACTATACCTCAAAATTTTCAAAAGGAATGCCCTGTATGTTTTCACATTGTTTGATTTTTTTTATAAGCTTTTGTCGATTTAAGACTAAAAGGGTTTGTATGAATGGCTTTTAGGTTACTAAGAACCCAGTGATGCTTTCTTGACTTTTCGACTTTATTGCATTTGATGGTGTAGATTTAATTTATCATGAAAATGCACCACCTCTAACGACCTGCCGTTACCAGCTTAGAGCTATTTTTTATTTAAAAACGTTATGTAATATTTTTAATTTAGCTTAACATCTGATTTACAGAAACGTTAAATGTAATCAAAAATCAATCGTTCAACACCTATATTTGAAAAAACTTGTAAAAAGGGGAAACAAAGGATATGATATTATTAATATTATTATTATTATATATTACCGATTTTAAATTTTTCGAAATCGTTTATTTTGCGTTCTTGACCACCCTGAATATACTTTCAAAAAAACTTACATGGTAAGTATGTAGAGAAAAAATGTGAAACCATAAATTTTTTCCGAGGAAAAGATTTAGTAGTCTAGTCACAACAGTCGAATATGCGAGTTGTCAAAGTTAAGCTTCTTTTCGATAAATTGTCCCATATCTCAGCAATTTTGAAATAAAACCCTATAGTACGTTCAAATTGCTCATTTGGAAGAATCTACTCAGATATGTGATAAAATGTATGTCTTTCTATTTGAAAAAATAGGCTAGGGTCACCACGTAGTTATGAATCACCCTGTAGAGACGAAACTATTTTCCAAGTAAGGTGCATACTGTCTGGTATAATATCTGTAATTATTTTTTTACATACCATGCGTAAAAACGGAGTTATTGACCAAGCCCACAATAGCAACTCACTCTGTATGTATTACGAGGAAATTTCCCAATTTGCGTCAGTACCAAATAGACAATTATATCTTAGTTCGGTAATAGAAACACGTATGTGTGGGAAAGTCTACATTTAGGCCACTTTATTATATATTTATATTGAGTTTAACTATCTTTATTTACATCTACAATAAAATGAAAAATGATTCAACAAAAAACTTTCAAACTTGACACGCTTATTGAGCTTTAGCCATTTTAGGCGCTTTTTATATTTTTTTAGGAATTTTTTTAGTCGCTTTGGGCTCTACTGTTATTTTCGTACCTATTTATGATAGAGTAGCAACTTATAAACAAGCTTACATGGTACAAAAAGCGCAGGAAGAAGCGTTTATAATATAATTGTAGATAAAAAAAAAACGTTTAAAATTGATAGAATTCATTAGAAAACCCAAGTTTGAAGTTTTTTTCCTGATACTTGCTATTTTATTTTTTATCAGTTTACTGTAAATGTAAAGAATGATACTTGAACTTGATATAAATACAACAAAATGGTAAAAATTTAAACTTCCAGTTTTCGCAAATGTGATGGGAGAAAAGAGGCCGATCTTCACCCTGCTCCTTTAGCAAGTCCATTATTGTGTGTTGCTCTTGTTATTTCAAGAGCTTTATACTGTGTAAGTGTATATGGCCCAGCTGTAATAAAAAGTGATAAAGGCAAGTTACAACGGCTACAAAATTCTTTTACCCGTTTTTGTCTGGGTATACGGAAATTTGATCAAAGTGTACAAAAAATGGTAAAATGAATTTAGCACATCTTAGAAAATACCAAAGACATACAATTTTAGGGAATAAGAAACCAGAATATCTTTCAAATGAACTCAACAAATCTGAAAATATCAGTGACTTGTCTACCAGACATCTACAATAATTAGTTATACCTAAACGCTTTACGTCTCTCGACAAAAAGAGCTTCTCGTATACTGCCGCCAAGTTATACAATGACCTTTCTATTTGAATTAAGAAATTATAATGTGAAAAATTTTAAAAAGAAGCTGAAGTCGTGGTTACTCAGCAGTACATAATCACTCCCCCACCACTCTGTCACCCTACCTACTTGACTAGTTTTGACATAAATTGTTCGCTCCCGATATCTTTATCTACTTTTACTAAAAGCAATGCAGGGTGGCGCATCGAAAACGAAACAGACGCATTTACTGGCAGCTCAGTTTTTTTTGATAAACGCTCAGGCCCGTCAATTTTGTTTTCGAGGGGGACACACGTTTGGCAAAAAATCACGTTAACACGTGCAGCCCCCTGGGCGGGGGTGACACCAAACCTAAAATCGTAAATGGAAAGGGGGTCGAGTGATACCTTATTTTAAAGGTCTTTATAATGATGTAAAATACATGAGCTTCAGTTCAGTAGTTTTGAAGATTTATTGATTTAAAGCTTAAAGTAGACTTTAATGGGTACATCAGATTAGTTTATACTACTTTCAGAAGAAATTTGACTAAAAGAATGTACTTAATAAGTACATGCTTTTCTTCACTACGCCCATGCTTTGTTTATCATTTTGTTGTTGAAAATAGCTATTGGAGCGTTTTTTTTTGTGGCAAAAAAGTTATTTGTTGAAGAAAGATAAGGAAATATCTCGTACTTATTTTAAATAGGAATTTAGTACGTATACATAGTTTGCGATTGATTTGACCAACTTTGTTGCTAAAATAACTTGTAACGCTTTATTACATAAATTAACCATGGTATATTCTACAGCAGAAAGAGTTGAAATTATCGAAATATTTTTCGGAAATAATCAGTGCGCTAATAGAATAGCAAAAATATTGTAGTAACGTGCATCGAAAATATGTTCTAGAACTTGTAGCTAAATTTCGGGAAACTGGGTCAGTCGCCAATAAAAAAAGCAACATTGAAAATCCCATAAGGAACGAAGCAATAGAAGTGGGGGTTTTAGGGCAAGTTTATGTAGATCCTACGTTAAGTACCCGCAAATTGGAGACTGTGTGTGGTGTTAGTCGACGTACTGTCCAACGGATTCTAAAGGCCCATAGTTTTTATCCGTACAAAATTCACCTGGTACAAGAACTTAATGAAGATGATTTTGATCGGCGATTACAATTTTGTGAAGATATGAGTGAACGAATTATAAACGATGAACATTTTCTATTCAACACTTGCTTTTCCGACGAATGTTCCTTTTTCTTAAATGGCGTAGTAAATCGTCATAACTGCCGATATTGGTCCGATTCTAATCCCAGAATTTATCATGAGGTTCATACACAGCAGGTATCACTCGACCCCCCTTTCCATTTAAGATTTTACGGTTGGTGTCACCCCCGCCCAGGGGGCTGCACGTGTTAACGTGATTTTTTGCCAAACTTGTGTCCCCTCGAAAACAAAATCGACGGGTCTGAGCGTTTTCCAAAAAAAAAAACTGAGCTGCCAGTAAATGCGTCTGTTTCGTTTTCGATAGATCACTAAACAAATTTTATTTAATTTTTTTAGTCGTTTAAAAAACTTAATTCCTTATTGTTTAAATATTAGGATGTACGGTTGAGCTGAAAAATAACATCATGGTAACACCCCACCGATTAGACTGTCAAAATTTTAGTGACTTATCTACGTCTATTGTTGTAGGTTGCATATATAAGGTAAAATAGTGCAATTAAGACAATTTATTATCATGTCGTATGTAGTTAAAATAACCAAAAAACAATGAACGTCGGCTTTTCTGCGAGATAAAAACCGCGGAAACGCGAGTGACAAAGGTGCTAGAAAGAGACAGAAGCACCGGGCAGAAACCGCGCGCGCGGGCTACATATAAATATAGTGGATCGATATCAGCTGCTCAATCGATTTGCCGACGGTGCCACACGCTGAAGCTAACTAACCATCCTCACACAGTAGCCTTTGTGTCTGTCTGTCGGTCCCGCGAAACCCATCTAATCTGGCTAAGTTCAAAAAATTTGTTGCCAAATACCACCGAACGAACTGTTTCGTTTCCAAGTCAGACAAAGTATACTTGCGATTCATTTCGGGTATTATTCTATGTACCATAAGTCCTACACTTAATTCGATTGTCTTACTCGTGCACGGTCCAGGTCAAAGAATTGCAGCAAGATGCCTGATTTGATTACCAAGATCGAAACAACTGGGTAAGTTGACAAGCTATTTTTGCGAGAGTAGTTCAGATTCACTAGAACAAGATGAAAAAATAGAATAAGAATCAATAGTGACCCAGTGTCCTACTCATATAATGAGCTGGTGGATTGTCAATAGACCGCGTTTCTTCTTTGACCTCAGTCTAATTATTTTTACATTATGAATACTAGGATCGCATATTCAAACTCGTTGTTTTGTGGCGCAGCACAGTGTTCTTTTATTTTTGCTCATACCATGATAAGAGGTATACGTCATTGTCGCAAAAGCGATCTCACCTATTTCCTCGGGTCTGTCTGTCTGTCGGCCTGTCTGCGTAAGAAAAACAATTTAGTGAACAGAGAAGCTAGTATTTACTAGTATTATTTGCTTCAAATGCCACTAAGAAGTTAGATTGAAATTTAGTGACAAGGTAGACAGTAAAAAAACGTAGATAGTTGCTTATTACGCAATAAAATTTTCTCATAAAACAGTGTCGTCATTTTGGCTCAGCGCTTTCATTTCTACTGTGTTTATGGTATCACAAAAACAACATAGCATCGATTAACGTCATAGCCATCTTGCTGGTTAAGACGCAATTCCTCGTAAGTGAAACTATTTCAACAGGATACTACCGCGGGGGTGGGCGCATTCACCAAAATTCACGCGCACTTTTTTCTGCTGCTCCCACATTAATTGCCAGCTCCAGAGCTCCGGGGTAATTTTATCCAGGTATCACGATCATAATAAAAAAACTAGGTTTTTTAAGAATCCATGTAGACAACAAAATTTTTTAACCAAAGAAATAATAATACCCTGATGGAGAACTATGCCTTTATTGGCCAAGTACTTTTATACCAGGGATATAATGTGGGTGGACAGTAATGACCTTCTACAAAGACTTATTTTCCAATCCTCCAATTTGTCGACCATCCTGGGACATTTAGGTACATTAGTAATATTCAAAAATGGAATAACTAGTGGTACATACTATACATATATACAGGGTGTCCCGAAAAAAGTGTGCAATATTCTACCAGCGGTTTATAGAGCTTAAAATAGGAAGAAAAGTTTATATAAACATAGGTCGACATACAACGTCCCCTAAGGGCGCTACGGTCTTTTAAAGGGGCTCCCCTGAAGATGGTTTTTCCTTAATATTTCCGAAACGTGTTGAGATAAGGACATAAAATTTGGTATCCTAGCCTAGTTTTTTATGCTGGATCTAAAAATATTAAGAATTTTAGACAGTTTTGTTTGGAAGCATATGAAACAGGGACGGACTCAGGTTATTTTAGCCCCAAAATTTTTGTATGATTCTATTTTTGAATTTAAAAATTTAGGGTTTTCTACATAAAAAAGGTACTCTTATTGAATATCGATAAATTGAGCCATTTTTTAATAAAATCAAACTAAAAAATTTGTCACATGATAGGAAATGTACTGCGAATTTAAATGAATTGTTGATTTTACATAGTTAGCCATGACTGCAAACAAAAGTTGTTTTGATTTGTTATGACTTATTTTGACGTTAAGCTGACATTGTTAGCAGTGTAAAATTACTAGATTAAAATCAAAATTTTTATTAAATCGATATTGCTTTATATATATATATATATATATATATATTTATATATTTATAATCCGCAAATAAGCATACGAAATGTTTCAGAAAATATGGATATACCTCGATCAATAGTAAGAAAAATTTATGAATACCTATTTGATAGTTATCCTAAAAATAATAATTTTAGATAAGAAGAATGACAAGAATGCAAGTATTACATCCTTATAATTTTAAACGGGTGCACCATTTAACGGAGGCAGATTTTTTACCACGAATCGAGTTTTGCCAGTGGATATTAGCAAATGAAAACACTATTCCTAGAATATTATGGTCGGATGTATCAATATTTACTAGGAATGGTGCTTTTAATTTCCATAACATGCATCACTGGTCAGATGAAAATCCGAAAGTTGTTCGCCGTACAAATTTCCAACATAGTTTTTCATTGAACTTATGGGCAGGAGTAATTGTGGATCAAGTAATTGGGCCTATTGTACTTCCCAATCGTCTTAATTCAGAGGTGTATCTGAACTTTCTTCAGAATGAGGATATAATACCATTGGATGTGCGCCAGCACTTTCAAGAAAATATGTTTTTTCAACATGAAGGCACCCCTGCACATTTTGGACTGAGTGTTCGAAATTGGTTGCATGTCAATTTTCCAGACAGGTGGTTAGGCCGAGGAGGACCTATAGCGTGGCCGCCACGTTCATCTGACCTAAATCCATTGGATTTCTATTTTTGGGGGTCATTAAAAGACCTACTTTACTCGACTGAAGTAAATAGTCAAGAAGATTTACTTCAAAGAATCCATCAGGCTGCAAATGAAATAAGAAGAAAAAGGTTTTCCACCTTTCGGGCTACGCAATCATTAGTTCGTCGAGCGGGACTATGTATCCAACAAAATGGGAATTTATGTGAACACTTATTATAAAGCTAGTTTTAAGAATATCCAACTGTATGTCTTCTTTTATAAACAAATTTAAATTTCGTTCGTAGAAAGAATTTATTTCTTTTGTTTTTGACTAAATGTTAGCTATGTTGCAATAGAAATATGTATTTATGTAATATTTACCAATCATTAAATTAGTTTTTTCGTTGCCATGGCTAATTATTCAACAATTCATTTAAATTCGCAGTACATTTCCTATCATGTGACAAATTTTTTAGTTTGATTTTATTCAAAAATGGCACAATATCGATATTCAATAAGAGTACCTTTTTATGTAGAAAACCCTAAATTTTCAAATTCTAAAATTGAATTTCAAAAATAGAATCACACAAAAATTTTGGGGCTCAAATAACCTGAGTCTGTCCCTGTTACATACGCTTCCAAACAAAACTGTCTAAAATTGTTAATATTTTTAAATCCAGCCTAAAAAACTAGGCTAGAATACCAAATTTCATGTCCTTATCTCAACACGTTTCGGAAATATTCAGGAAAAACCATCTTCAGGGGAGCCCCTTTAAAAGACCGTAGCGCCTTTATTTGACGTTTGTCGACCTATGTTTATATAAACTTTTCTTAGTAATTTAAAGCTCTAGAAACCGCTGGTAGGATATTGCACACTTTTTTCGGGACACCCTGTATAAAATTGTCTTTAAATAGTAAACAAGATGGGCATGTTCCATCGAAATCTAGGATTTATATTCAAATGAGTATTTTTTCTAAGTAAATTTCCGCGAATCTTCTGCATTTTCTCGTGTATTGAGTTTTGCTCGAATTTCCCCGTTTTAGTAGTCTTTGAATAGGAAGTAGCGATTTTTTCTTGAACCTGTCATCACCAGGCAATAAACTGTTTGAAGTAGAAGTGAATGGTAACTTCATTCTATAAGAAAATAATTTTAATTATTTTTTACTGATTACGTCTCGATTATCTTGAACCTTCTTTGCTCCTCGTTGTCCCTGCATTATGAGTATAAAATACGAAGACGCATTTCCATCGAGATAAAATGCGAATTCGGTGTTTATAAATAGTGGCAAACCTTGCAACTGGAGAGGTCGTTTACACCTCGTCAGCTGTTTTAAATAGTAGCGGAACAGGCATGTTCAAGGATACATGGTTTATTGTTTGTATACATACAACCTAAGCATAACGTTAATAGTAACTATATTTAAAACAAGGAAGCAGAGCTCTGTTAGGTGTCAAGTTCAAAGGAAGTCTGTGATTTTAGTAATAATAAAAATTATCGTTTTTATTCGCTGCATAAAAATAACCAATCATCTTACATTTCCTTAAAAAAGAGAGTTTGTTCAGCTGTCCCCAACTGAAGTGACATATATCGATTCTACCATTTAAATTTTAGTCATATATTCAACACATAATCCATAGAACCATTCTGAGAATAACATGCACTAAATAAAGTACTGAAGTACTGCATTACCTTTATAATCAGCTCTGTTTGCTGAATAATGTTCACTTGAAATATCTCTTAAATCTATTTTTTTTTAATTTTTGTTAACTGGGAAACTGTTGTACACACTATACATTTGGCAAGTGAAACTTTGCTTGAAAAAGTCATGGAGAGACATACGTGGAAACAGTAGTCGCTTGAATATCTGAATATTTTAAGGGCAACATTTTATTTTAATATAGAAATATACCGGTTGTTTTGCAATAATTAAATATATGCTTTGAAAGCTGCATGCAGTATACCTAAAATTTAGGAAATCATGATCAAAGCTGCGGCATTCATAAGCTGTGTTTTCATTGCCTTTAAGATGGTATCTGTTGACAATTATCAAACAAGTTTGAGAATCCATCGATTTTCGGCAAAATAATGTGTTTTTCGATTCTTCATATCATTAAACGTTTGATGACAATATTAATTTCGTCTTCAGTGATGAGACTAAAGAACGATGCCGAGATTTTGGCATTTTTTCTCCCAAGAAATGTTTACCACTGATAGAAGACAATCAGAGAAGCCATTTCAATAAAATTACAATATTTAGATTTTCCAGATTCTATTTCTGCTCTTTTCACAACAATACCAAATAAGAGATTTTATCAATTATATTATCCAAATTTTAAAAACTATTCATGCTTCTTAAGCGTAGAAGCTTAAAAGGTGTATGAAGTTCAGTGATTTGAGCACTTATCATAGTACTTGCAACATGTAAAATGGAACAAAAGAAAACTTGTATTCATCTGGGTACTATTTAAATGCTAAAACAATGCATATGGCACATGCTTTTGCAAATCTAGTGGAAACAATGACTAGATTTATATCTAATAGTAGTAGTTTTGACTAGTCAGTCATTTTGGTATTAAAAGTAGCTGAGACAACTACTGAAATATATCGAAGGCATATAAAAATCCCTGTAACAAAACAAATTTATATTTCTACATTTCTATTGTAATAATATATCATATACGGAAATATTTGATATCGACATGTGGCTTGCCTTGATAACAAGCATTGAAATGAACTTTGAATTACATATTTGCAACGATAAAGACATGTCTGTTTCTTCAAGACATTTGACACGTGGCGAGGTCATCCCATCCGCTTATCCGTTTTTTGTTACTACTAATAAATTTATACAGCAACGTTTAACAACAAAAAAAAGGCTTATAATGACAATAAATAACAATAACACATCGTATTCGCGTATTACGTCAGGTATTTGTAAGTCGACGAAAGCTTCCATCAAGTCATAGGACATTTTGGTACCATCACAATTTGCCGATAGTTGTCTCCGAATACGTTCGTTTAAGAAAATGGCGTCGAGTGAGTTGACTCTGTACTTTCCACGCTACGCTATCATCAGTTTGTAAAGGATTATGTTAGGCACAAGTTAGCCCTTCTGAGAAAAAGTTAGCCACGAAGATGTATAACAAAAAATTAAATAGCCTGCTCAGTTCACGCAGCCCACAGTAGTGTGGAAGCGATTGCCGACTATGACGCTTGTCCATCGGGGGACGACGTCGCACGTATCGACACCCGACTGTAGAAGATATTTTTCTAAGGGTACATATACGGGGTCATCTATGATGAGTGAAATATGCTTAATATGTAGCGTAGAATTACTTGGTTTGGAGGCGTATGAATATACCAACGTCAAAAAATTGAGATGAGACCGTGGGGTTATAGGGGGATACAGGGGAAAGGGGGAACGCCACACGGACTCTGGCGAGGGAACACGTGTGCATGCAACATGCACACATTCTGGCCCCGAATACGAGATCCGTCGGGTGGTACCTCCGCGTTCGACAGTCAGAGACCGTCTACCACCTGCGGACAATCACAACATCCATAGCCAAGAGAAAAATTTCTCCTGGGACGGGATTCGAACCCGCACAGCGCACGTCGTCTGATCAGGAGACCGAACAGTCTACTACTGCGGCCACCGCTGCTGCCTGAAGTTATATTATCAATCTAGACTTAGGCTGCCTGAAATTATTCTGATGCAACTAAACGAAACGTTAACACGTTTTTCGGACACTCTGTGCATCGTTGTGTACTCTGTACCGTTATCTCCTTCGGTAGACCTCGATTCCGATTTTGTATACATTTTATTGTGAAACGTCAGTATTACGTTAAACTAATTGATTAACTAGTATTCTAGCTCACTCACTTTCACGTCCAAGGTTGACTAGTAATGTTTATTTTACTTACATCAGCTGTTGACATGTGCCTTCCACAATCCCAGCAGACACACCTTCATGCTAATCTTGCAAAAAGTTAATCGTTGAATAGTTATATCAGTAGATATTTATTACAAGCATTGATTGAAAGCGTGTGCCATTCTAATCAGTAGCATGGTTGGTACCATTAAATACGAGAATCGACCGCAACATTTGAAATTTGATATATTTTGTATGTAATGATCGTAATTGTTAAGCGTTTAATGTACGTATCAGTTAATTCGAACTTTACGATTCTAAGAAAAATAATTAAACTAGGCAAGAGGCCTAACACTTGAGATCAATAATAATTAATATCTCATCGCCCTCGGTGATCTCGACAACATAATCTAGAAGAGAAATATTTACCTATATAATTATGTATTTTTCGACATTAATGTTCCATATGCCTAAATAGATTGCCAGTAGGGTCACTATTAAAGAGTATCTGAACGAGCAATATATCATTTGATTATATTAATTTGACTATAACTATAGGGATTTTAGCTTACCCATAATAAACCTATTGTGGCATCTGGAACCGTTATATATCACGCAGATATTCTGGCAATATAGCATTAAGTAGGATTCCAAACGCTCGGCAATCTGATAGCAATATACGAAAGTATGTTGCAAATGTCAAATACGTCTAGCATATGTGGCCGGCACCCGAATAACGTAACTTAACCATGGGAGCAGTCTGTCAGGTATCTTGGAGTCATCATTGACAGGGGGTTGACCTGGCAGAAACATACTGATATTTTGAAAACAAAATTCAAACTACCTTTCGGCAGCTTTATCCTTTGTTGTGCAGAAATTCAAAATTAAGTTTGATCAACAAGATTCGTTTGTATAAAATGGTCATAATACCCGCAATTACCTGCGCATGCGCGGCTTGGTGTTTTCTTTCCAAGACGCACATGCAGAGAGTGCAAGTCCTGCAACCCTCTGTTGCGTGATTCAGTAGACTGCACAGTCGAGCAAGTTCGCAAACATTCCAGACCGCGCCTCGTACTGTGATCAAAATTAAATTGTAAATTCAGACCAGCCAAAATTATTTCAGTATACAAAACCGATCAAAACAATTTTTTGGAGTTACAAAATAATTCGAGTAGTCAAATCAATAATGCTTAAGCTATTTCAAATGATTTACTTCTTTTCTTTGCTCTATTTCTTCCTTCCTTTCTTTCCTTCTTTCCTTTCTTTCCCTTTTCCCCTTAAACATGTTTGGTATCTGGGTAGCCAGACCTGACAGACTATCAGACCGACGAGACTTTTAACTAAGAGCAAAGGTCCACCGGACCGCTCTGACGAATAATGACGAATAGTAACATAACTTAAAAAGTGACATTATATCGATTTTTGGACATTATATAGGTTTTCCTATAAAATTTTATCTTTGAACTAGTTGAAATTTATCAAAAAGCGCCATTAAGGAACCATTCCCTAAGCACATCTTCCAAACATGCCAAAATCAAAACTTAGTTGACACATTATTCGAATACAAATCATTCTGGGATGAGCTTATTTTCGCGACATGCTGTATTAAGAGCGGGCTGATCAAAAGTTTGAAGTATGAATTACTTTAGAGCTTCTGAACTATACTGGAACGTATCTCCGTCTCATTCACTTTTAGGTGGCAGAATATTTATAACAGATTACATACACTTGTCGTTGCCTGGTCGAGCCTTAGCCAACATAATCACGAAAATTCGAATTTTGCGTGCTTGTATTTTTTTTTGAACCGGTGTAGATGAGATTTGTATCAAGCGTTGAAAATGTATGAGCATTAAGAACGTAACATTGAGGAAGATTATATACCAATGTTATTCAAGCTCTTCAAACAAATGAAGCAAGCTTATGCCCGTGATATTGCTTTGAATCTTTCTAAATTTAAAACGCTTCCAATAGTTGATTGGAATTGAAATGTAAATAAAACTTCGTGTTTCATGAATTTTATAACAAACGCTTAGCGAAAGATCATCTATACGAGTTTGAGATGCCTCCATTTAGTACATATGTGTTATTTTTCGAATCTGGTTTATATTACGTTTCTGAATTATAAAGCTGGATGCTTCTTTGTCTTCTTTCATCATCTGTGCAACATGCAGTACCTGTTGGAGATACACCGAACTGGTTAATGACTGTTAATTGACTTTTTTGTGCAGATACTCGTGTGGCTTTGTGCGTGTCTGCAGTTTGCAATAAGTCGAGTCTGATCTGGATTTCTCCGTAAATATCCATCACTATGTGGGCTTTTTACACAGATATTTTAGTTGATGATTCCTAGTGAACGACTAACTTTATATCTCTACCTACAGCAGTTTCATCTACCATTGCCTCTCATACAGAACGTGGGTACCCTTATTTGCTAGAAGGAAGCCAACAAAAATCTAAAATCTGTATATTTTGTTTATGTGTTTTGTTTAACAGAAGCCTTAGTTTTGAATACTAGCTAAAAACTGTAAGAAGCAGGAATCTTGTATTTACGGAAATTTTGGGGGAACCTGATTAGCAATAATATTTATGTTTCGTATGGTGCTTGCAGTTCTTATTAGGATTGTGACAATGAGTGAAAAAAATGATCCATTTTTTCTTTTTCAATATTAATCGATTTATACAAAATCGATTTTAGACGAAAAAGTAGACGATTCTTCTAGAAAAATTGATGAAAAAATGGATGGAAAAGGATTCATGTTAAGGATGTCCATCTCATTAGAGTATCGGTAATTGAAAATTGAAGGGCGGGGGGTCAAAAACCTATTCTCGATATTCCCGCAGGGAGGGGGGTGAGTCCACTTCACTAAAGGTATTTTTATAAGGAAAAGTATTGGGCCGTGGCGTTCTGGGAGTTTAAAAAGATATAAAACTGTGTATCTACTTATTTACACACAGATGGCAATATCTTTCATCTACCTATTCATGCTACGTAATGAAGTGTGAACTTACTTCGAGTTTTTGCATCTGTCGTACCAATGCGCTGTTCACAAAAAAAAAATTAAATTGGGTAATCTATACAATCGGTTTATTGAAAATTGGTTATTATGATCAAGAAAATCGGTTACTAAAAATCGATTACAAAAAAAAATTAATAGAATAATCCCTTATTGTTTAACATCTTTGGCTTTTACTGCGAGATATGCGAAAATTGCATTTGTTGAAGACCCTCAAATTTATTTATGTCATTCTGTAAAGTATCATCAAGTTTCTTTCTTAAGTGTGCAACAACAAATGATGGCCGAAATTCGAAGCAGGCTCTTAGGGTATAATAAGCTTGAATTAAGATTGATGCATCAGTGATGGATCGGCGAAGCGTGTCATAAAAGAAACAGCAATATATAATGACCCTTACGTGTGGTTAAAGGAAGCATTCACCAAAAAAACATTACTTTTTCGTTTCTAACCGTCTACCGACAAACGAATCGACGACCGTGGAGAGCGTATAGCTGTTATTTTTTGGAACTGTAAAGATCTCAGTTCGCGGTAAATAGCTCAATCACCATGTGACCGCTAGATGGCTGACGATTCTGGCTGTACAGTAGATGTGGTCTACTTGCCCTCATTACCGGGATCGTTAATAGTCACTACCAGCTAAGAACTGAACTCAGTTTCATACCTGTGTATTTATATATCTAGGTGTTGAGTTCAAATAGCCCGCTACGTTGTCTCAAAATTGCTTAAACCCATTTTGCTATTAAAAAATATCCATCCAAAGCTCAATTGAGCTTTTAGGAACGATACTTATCCTCTTTATCTGCCCACGTAGGCTACACTCCTTCCAAAGTCTTCAATATTCAATATTTTGGTGCGGCAGAATAAGAGAAAGTATGGAATTTTACTACGCGAATTTCGACAATGAATCTGTTTTTAGATACAAATCGGCAAATAAGCGTAATACTGAGAAACACATCCATTATTGGCAATTGTTGTTTACAACTTTTCTTAATAAACCCCTCTCTTTGTACGTCACTGTCCATATCACAATCTTTAACCGTCGCTGGTCATAAATAAACATAATAATTATCAAATCAAGTCGAGAAAGCGCATTGAGCGCATTAAGGTGCCAGCCTTCATCATGAAACCGCTTCTGTTCGTGGTCACTAAGAGGGAGTTGATCTTTTGCAGATACTCCAATGAGCTTGGGAGGATCGCCAGGAAACTCTCTTCCCCCAATGTAGGACTCTTCCGGCAGCTGAGAGGCATTAGCGTCGTCTATGGGGATTTAAGAGACCTATCGCCTAAGGTAAGGGCAATTTTACATTTTTTTTATAAAATCAGTCTAAGATTAGGTTTGGTCGCAATTTATAGAAATACCTAAAACGTTCAAGAGAATCTACTGATATATGCGTTTGCGAAATTTCAATGAAATCCATCGATTTGTTCCTGAGATAATCTCTATAATATTTATAAGGGCTTCTTATGAGAAGCTCCATATTTTAATGTACACCAAACAAAGCTATGCATATAAATGATTAAAAACTGATTATATGAAACCTGAAGGGCATTCATACCACTGGTGTATCGAGAAAAAGGCTCTGGTGGAGGGGAACAAGATACATTTCACAAACAAATTATGTCCAATGCCTCATTTTTGCAAAAGTACGGGGATTCGTATGCACTAAAATGCAATAGCTAAGTGCTCAGTAGTCTAGGATGTTTTTTGACCGTATAAAATGTAGTTTTCGAAGTATTTTAAGAAATATCTGGTCCATAGTTTTTGTTGTGTATTTGAACGATTGGTGTGGAAACGGATTCACCGCTTCGTTGTTGCTAAGCGTGTTGTACGTGGAGGTACCGTCTCCGGTTGGGGATAAATTTTATCTCTAATTGTCGATTGCAATTAGGAGAGTTTATACATGTAATTATGGAAAAATAACATTTTGACAAGGTTCTTATCTGCTTTAACCTGTACAGTATGACCAAAGATTTGGATGTTTATCAGACACAGGCATTTGGTATTGATAATGCTTACATATAAATACATTCTGTTATCTCTGCACATAAAATACATCTTGCACGTACACAAATAATTCCGTCGT